CACTTCGTTTACATTCTTCTTCACACGACAGACGCCCTATAATTTCTCGTTGAGATTCCTAATACTTTTCTGTTACCCCCGCAATGAGGCTGGACCTTATCGTGGTGCGATGGTTTGTGTGCCTCAGTGATCCATTGAGCTATACTGAGTGGAGCTTTTGCACCTTCAGATCCAGTCATACCAGATTGGTCAATGGTTATAGACCAGAAAAACTCAGCCTCCTGGTCCTCCAGGTTGGCGGTTGGAATGAGGGCGGCTCCTTATTCCTTAAAACGGACTCCTTGTAGTCCAGTGCCAAACCCGCTGCCTTGCGGCCAGGTTTTTGAACCAAAGGCTTTGGTTGAGAACCCTAATCGTTCTCCTGTCTAGGCCTGGGCAACCTGACAGTATCCTGCCCACGCAATACAATGAATCCTTCCCCAAACAAATTTCTGATGCTCTGGCCACCGCAGAGGATAATAAACGGTGCCCTATATGCTGCATTGAGCAGGGTGGATAGGGGTTTGGATGCTACTGCTCAAGCCTTCCCATCTTCATATCCCCTTCTTGCGCTTTTTCACCCTTATCGTCCCATTCCAGCTTCACTTTTATCCCCCCTGTTTCCAACCCCCAATTCTCGGCCCTCCCCCACCTTGCTTCAATAGTCACTTGTCTTTTAGTTTCAACTCACAGATGAACGCAGAGCGTCATTTCTGCACTGTCAACGGGCCCATGTCCAAGCAAGCGGCCCATTCCTGTTCATCGGCTTCCATTTGGAGCCCTCGATCCTCCTTCAGATTGGCATGCCTCAATGTTCGCACATTGCTTCAGGTCGATCAGAAGGCAGCACTTGCCCGGAGACCCGCCTGCAAGACTCGAGCTCTGTACTCACTCTGCGATCCCCTTCAGGTGACACTAGCAGCACTTTCTGATTGCGCTTATCCTGTGACGATGCAGCTTCGAGCACCGGCCAAGCCGATGTTGGTATTGCCCTGAGGCCCTGGGCTGAAGCTGCTCCGGTTGATTGGATTTCAATCAGTAGCCGGATGTGTGCGGTCCGATTGGCTGGCTCGTTCAAAACTTCGAAGTCGCGTGTGACTAACAGGTGTCTATTCGTTATCGCTGCCTATGCACCGACAAACTGTAGCGATGACTTGGTAAATAAGACTTTTATCGCCAACTGAACGGACTCCATCGCCACAGAAGAAGCTCGTACACTGTTGTGCTGGCGGGGGATATGAACGCACAAGTTGGAAAATTATCCACAGGTGAGCTGTATCTGGGGGGCCGACATGGTATAGGTTCCCGTAATGATAACGGTGAGTGGTTACTTTATTTGTGTGAGGATGCTCGCTTATTTCTTGCGAGCACTAATTTCCGACACAGCACCCGCCGGAGGGTGACTTGGCGGCCAACAGCCTCGAACTAGCTATGGAGGCAAATCGATCACATTGCGATAAGTTACCGCTGGAGAGGCTGCGCCCAGAACTGTTGCTCGATTTGGAGCACAGGTGTTGACACCGATCATGCACTTGTATGTGCTGACATGCGGATGCGCTTTGGCGGACGCCCGCGACGATGTTGTGAGCGCATTGACACCGGCAGACTGGTGAATCCAGCTGTTCTGAACGCCTATCAAATTACGCTGTCATCCGAGTTGGATAAACGCTCACTGGATGCAATTGAAGCTCACTGGTCTCATATGCTACGGGTCTTACTAGCAGCAGGCAAATCCTCATGTGGTATGTCTAATCGCCAACATGAACATTGGGTCTCTTCACAGTCTTTGGAACTTATAGATGCTCGCCGACATATTCCGGCTGGAAGCGAACACAATGAAACTCGCGAAGTGCTCCGGGCAAAACTTCGTGCTAGCCTGAAGAGAGACCGCGAATCCTGGTGGTCTCGTCGTGCAACAGAGATGGAAATGGCCGCTGCCCTTGGTAACCATCGTGAGTTATTCCGTCTGATACGGGAAACGGGCAGCAGGAGACCTGGTGTTAGTGAAACTATACGTGACGAGAGTTGGCAACCTATCCACAACTTATCAAAACGCCTGGAATTTTGGGCTGAACACTTTGAAAGGCAATTGAATCAGTCGGAATTGTTAGATTTCTCGCCGACCAGTGATCGCCCCTCTCCGTGGGCTGTTCCTTTGGATCCACCCTCTCGCTCAGAAGTCGAACATGAGATCAAACTGTTGCAGCTAAATAAAGCCGCGGGACCTGATGACCTTTCTCCAGCCCTCTTCAAATTCGGGGGACCTGCTCTTGTGGATGATTTACACGAGGTACTAGTGAGACTGTGGGAGCAGGAAACTGTCCCAACCGATTGGAGCCACTCCATCATAGTCCCAATTTTCAAAAGAGGCTCACGATCGGAATGCGGCAGCCATAGAGGAATCAGTCTGACCTCCATCGCCTCCAAATTGCTTGCCTCTGTCATCCTACACAGACTGACTGGCACTCGTGATAGCCAGATTCGTGAAGAGCAAGCTGGGTTTCGTCGAGGTCGTAGCTGCATTGACCACATCTTCACTTTGCGTCAGTTGTTGGAGCACCGTCACATATATTGGCGGCAAACCGTTGTCGTGTTCCTCGATATCAAAGCTGCATTCGATTCGATTGATCGATGTGCCCTTTGGAATTGTCTACTCAGGAAAGGTGTGCCCGAGAAATATGTAAATATTATCCAAACATTATATGCGCGTAGCACGGGCAGAGTAAAGGCTTACAGCAGGCTGTCGCCACCCTTCAATATCTCCAGCGGTGTGAGACAAGGATGCCCGTTGTCACCTTTCCTCTTCAACTTCGCCGTTGACGAAGTCATGGAAATCGCGTTCACTGGACATGACTTGGAAGGCGTGGAGCTACTCCCAGGAGAATGACTTCTTGATTTAGAGTATGCTGATGATATTGCCCTGATCTGTGACAGCTCACAAACGTGCCAAGCGGCACTGGACAGATTAGCACTAGCTGTCCGTCACTTCGGGCTTTGCTTCGCACCCTCAAAGTGCAAAGCATTTCTCCAAGATTGGTCTGGACCGCCTCCTACGCTGACCCTTGGTGGGGATCAGCTAGAAGTCGTTCCAAAATTCAACCACCTGGGAAGTTGCATCAGCGCCCGTGGGATTGAAGATGAAATAACGAATCGTATAGCAAAAGCTCGGGGCGCTTTTGCTAACCTTCGCCACTTATGGCGCCGGCGCGACATCACTCTCACCCTGAAGGGTAGAGTGTACAATGCAGCACTACGTTCGACCCTATTGTACGGTTGTGAAACCTGGCCGCTTAAAGCAGCGGACCTGAAGAGGCTAGTTACGTTCGACCACCGGTGCCTTCGTAATTTAGCTCACATCTGGTGGGAACACCGCGTGAGCTACGAGCGTGTTCGACGCCTTGTTTATGGCACAGGAAAAGGAACTGAACCGCTAAGCACCGTTATTTCACGCATCAGGCTCCGATGGTTCGGCCATGTGTTACGCATGCCAGCCCACAGACTTCCGCGACGTGTATTGTTTGCCCGCCGGGGGTTGGGATGGAAGGAGGGGTGGTCAAGCGATGACTTGGTCCAGAGGAATGGATTTCCTCACTTCTGAGCTGGCCTCGGTTGGAGCGTCTCGGCTCCCTGGTTGGGGTCCGAAAGACGATGAACACGTTTGTTTGGACACACTTGCTGATATGGCTAGGAGCGGACCTCAGTGGCGTTCGTGCTGTGAGTTTCTTCATCTTACCCCTCTTAGCCTCCCCCTCCAACCACGATCTCATTACTTAGCCTTATATAATTTTGCATAATAATTCTTTTTGGGTGCACAACAGCCGGATGGTAGCTTACCGGAACGATGCCCATCCGTTACCGGTAGCTCAGCCAGCTTGCACCGGTTGTTTTTTCTCTCTCTCCTTTGTTCTTTTATTGCGGCACAGTAGCTGAGGTGTTCCCCACCTCTAGCTAACGGGTATGATGATGATGATGACCCCCACATATTGCATTTCTTGCCTAAAGGCTTAGTCAAAGAAGATAATTATGCACCGAATTTAACAACCTATACTCGTATACTTGCACTTCGTCACGGTAGTCATGATTTATACAGCCGCCTACCTACGTGCACCTTAAGTAGTTAATCGTCCCCACCACATTACATTTTTACTCAATTCTGACCCTATCCATATATGTTTCTTAACTGATATACGCACCACCGAAAGCCGACTCAGCACCGGTCCGCCCTACATTATGTAGTTCATTACTGTAACAGTTCATCATTTCGTACTCAATCATCCAGCACCTGTTTAATATATATTGTTGTCCACCGCTTTACTGTCTTGATCTAGTCAACCCGACATCTCATAACCTACCCATCTGATATGAGATTCAGGACAGCAACTATATGATGACAGAGTAGTTCTGCGCTTCACGGTACCTCGCTCTTGCCAGCTTAGTTTATCACAAAATATGACCCATGACATATACTAAATAAAAATGAATACACTTAGAACAAATTATGAGCTATTTGTATACTGCGCTAGTCATGTAAGACAGATTTTTGCGTCGCGTGCACTCTATTGCATAGGAATACCCTACTGTTTGTTTACCCTCCCGAAAGCTGCTAGGAGTGCTTGATAAAACTCACTGGGATCTTCTCGTTCGGAACCATTTTGGGACGCTAATAATAAGTAGTTTGTGTGTAAGCGAGGAGGCGCCAGAAAAGTAGAAAGCTCGTGGATCGCCATTGACGACGTAAGCGTGGTATACAAAACAACGAATTGTAAGACGCGTGCTGCAGATGGCTGCATTCACAGATACGTTGTGAATGAAGGGGCGAATCGAGTCTAATACTTTATTATGGTAAGCAGCACCAAAAAAATTACGCGATGATCTTCAGAGTTGTTTTTTATGCAACAAAAATACGCAAGTACTTTGCAGTTGTTACGTTGTATGTTGTCACTTATTACACTGAAGGTGAGCTATTTCTTTGTGATTTTTGGATCTAGCCTTCGGTTTCATCTGATAAGGCAAACCTTTGCAACCCAAGGAAACAGTCGAGGCTGAATTGCAAGTCAGTTCCAAAACGTGGCAGTGTTTCTGAAGACCCTTGCTCATCGTACGCTTCGAAACCGATTGACCATGCTTCACAACGTGCCTGTGTTAGTTCTTTAGCGGCTTCCAGTTTGTCTGCAGATACTACCAGGGGAAGTGGCTTATCAGAAGACCAAGTGATAGACGTGGAGGTCTTGGACAAAATTGTCCGACCGGTTCAAGATATCGACCGAACAGATGAAATCACTCAAAACCCAGAAACACAGCCAATGTCCTCTATTGCACGGGTAAGAAGATACAGTTCTTTTTTTTGTTAAGTCTTGCTTGTATATACCCACGATAGGGTTGGAGTATTATACATTTTTCTACCAGTTGCTCATCTGGTTCTTTCTTTCTTAAGTGTTTACGTTCCATATTTAAAAAAGAATTGTAATATATGATGAGTGGTTTTCCGATAGTTTTTCAACAAGCGTCAAGTTGGCTTAGGTCAACTTCAAAAATGTCACTGGCATTAATAATTGCACTTAGCCAAAGCACTGTAAACGGTGGTGCTTGAGCGCGTGTACCACTGAGTTTTAACACCGTAAGACATCAATTACTGCTAGGATGTTCAGTATCGTGCAGGCGCGGATACTCCAAGTAAGGGTGGAGCAAGTACAAGTCATTTTTGCATTAATGACAATAAAACATTAATGAATCCACTGGGGTTTGTAAATCTGATTTTGAGCTGGCACTTTCCGGGCAAATAGGTTGACGAGTGCACATCTGAGGTGTGCCTGATAAATACGTAAACGCTGTTATAACACTGTACGCGTATAGTTTGTGTAGAGTGAAGGTTTCTGGAAAACAGTCGCCAACTTTCAGTATCACTAACAGTGTGAGACAAGGTTGCCAGCTGTCACCTTTCCTATTTAACTTCACAGTTGCCGACGTCATGGAAGTAGCATTAGCTGGACACGACCTAGAAGGTGTTGAGCTATTTCCTGGTGAGCGACTTCTTGCCTTAGATAAGCGGACGGTATTATCCTAATCTGGGACAGTTCCTAACCATGTTAAGCAGCACTGGACCGATTAGCATTGGTTCTCTATCGTTTTAGGCTATGCTTTACTCCATCGAAATGCAAAGTATTTCTCCAAGATTGGCAAAGATCCACTCCTGCGCCAACACTTTGTGGTGATCAGCTAAAAGTCGTTCAGGAATTCAGGTAGCTGGGCAGCTATAGTAGCACCCGTGAGATCGAAGATGAGATTACGAACCGTATCGCAAAAGCTCGAGGTGTTTTTGCCGGTCTCCGTCACCTGTGGCGCAGACACGACATTATTTTCGTCCTGAAGCGCAGAGTTTATAACGCAGCCGTCCGTTCAACCATCCTATATCATTGTGAAATCTGGTCCATCAGGTGGACAGACATGAAGAGGTTCATCACATTCGATCATCGCTGCCTCCGCAGCTTAGCTCAAATGCCGTGGGAGCACTGGGTGAGCAATGAGCGTGTTCGACGTCGCGTATTTGGTGCAGGAAAAGCGAGTGAACCGCTCAGCACCATTATATCACGCACCAGGTTCCGATGGCTGGGCCACGTGTTGCGCATATCAGAACACCGACTCCCTCGATGTGTATTGTTTGCGTTGGCCGGGGATGCGGTTGGAAGAGGAGGAGGGGAGGCCAAGCGATGACTTGGTCGTGAGCAGGGAAAACTTTTACTTAGAAACTGGCTTCGGTTGGTGCATCCTGATTGCCTGGCTGGGGTCCTAAGAACGATGAACAGATTTGGTTGGGCACACTTGCTGATATGGATAGGAGCCGGCCCTAATAGTGTTTGTGTTGTGAGTCCCTTCGTCGCTCCCCTAGCTTTAGGTTCCCCTACCGTCCGGATCTCATGCAAAACGCATAATATAATATTTAACATCATGTTTTTGTACTGCAATTTGTAGTGTAATTCTCTGGCCTTTTATCTTTTTGTATTGCGCCACATTAGCTGCGGCGTATTTCGCACCCTCAACTAATGTGTACTGATGTTGATGAATTTATCTAGAATGCATAGTTATGCAATCGATGCACCTAATGAAGCCGCATGCACATAGCCAATTTTAATAGCACTAATTGGACATGGTTACTGAAGGGAGAAGCGCACGCTTAACAAGTCTCGTGGGATGACGGAAGCTGAAATCCACGATGTAAAGCACGTATCTGATAAAACTAAGATGTATACACCTACATTTAAGTACATATGCGTTTTGGGCACTTTACAAAGGAAATAAATAGCATCAGAATAATGCGAACTTGTATTGACGGAAACGGTGTCACTGGCGGTACAACTGTTACTTGAATAAACCGCCCGAATATTCATGGAACAGCAGTACATTGCAAAAATGAAACATTGTTATTGACAACTACTGTAGCTGAATCATGACAAAATGCTTCCTTACATTGACTGGCTGGAAACAGCGACACCCTTTTCATTGGTTGCGTAAACTCCGGACGGTTAAAGTTGAGTATTCAGTGTGTTGCATATCTTACGTCCTTAGTGCGCATACACATCCTCTAATTTTCTGTTGCCTTATGATTACAAAATTCGGCGTCGCAAACAGGATGAATGGCGCATATGTGTAGCTCAGCTTACAGAGCGGAGTTATGATTCCTCAGGTTACAAATGCATCAGCTGATAAGTGTTCAAATGTTCCGCGTTACAGATGTTTGCCGAACTTGGCGATTGGGTTGTATCCAATTTCTCACCACTTGAGCTGACTTCCTCATTGCGCCATTTCATTGAGTACACACTTGTTGATTTGGTTGTCTGCCTGGGATCAAGGACCAGGTGAAGTTGGAGAAGACCTCCTCTATTTGTACTCGATTTTTACCTTTGCCAAAGGTCTTTAATAGATTTGAGAGTTAACGAGCGAAATTGCACCTTCAAAAATATCACAATGCTCCTACGATGTTTCCATTAACTGATTTTTCAGTTTTAACCTCCGGGACCTGTCGCTTAAATTTTGCTATGACATGGGTTCCCCCATTGAAACGAGCTACCTAACTGCTCACATGTTTTGACCACTGTTAAAGGGACTTTGATGAATGAAACAATGGAGTGTATGATGGAACTCGCAGCAAGAGCCTAACCACAGCAATTAAATGATCGATAAAGAGACCACGCTCCATATATCTCGAGGTGACTCTAGACAGCTACAACTGTCGTGATCTATGAAGGATTTTGATGCAACTCTTTTGTATGAGCGTGTACAGTCAGGGCGATGAAGTGGATTCCGACCAACTGAACTTTGGTTTTAGTTCTGCCTCACCAAGCGCATCCCCTTGCTCTTCTTCATTATTTAAGATTACCTGCGCCCATCGATCAAAGCAACGTTCACAAGGAATTCAAAATATTAAAGGCAAAGAGAGCTAGTGTTCTGGATGCACTCTTAACATTAGTTTCCAACGAGTGTGATGATTCTCGCACACTACTTTTAACAGCTCTCTGTAACAAATGTCTCACTATGGGTGTAACCAAATTTGGACCTCAAACTTATTGTCCGATTGCCGGTACTTAAGTGCTTTTCAAAGTTTTTGAAAACCATTACTTCCGCGGATTTTTCAAGCCACTCATATAGACGATAGGTTCCAGTTTGCGCATAGAACACACCGCTCGAAAATGTTTACTGTGACATTTCGGGTTCATCATCTAGCGTCTGTATTAGATCCCAATAGTAAATCCGCAAGGATTCTCTTCCTTGCAGATTCGAATACCTTTGGAAGCCTAGATCTGTTAACCTTGCTCGATCTACCATCCGTAAAAGGAGCAAAAATTCAATGGCATAAAAGGTAAAAAGGCCAAGTTTTGATAGGTCTGGTGGGATGGTTTTCATGAATTACATAAGTTAAAAAAGTATTTGTACTCCAGTGAAACGCGCATTCATGAACGCATCTACCGTATCTTACCGAATATAAGCCGACAGTGGGACTTTGCAACGTCAAATTTGTCCAGTGCCCTACGTTCAGGTATCAGCCGACCCCCAAAAGAGGCGCAAAAGCGAAATGAACTTATTTTGCCACGATCTCGACGTAATCACTACTTGCTCTCATTTGAGTGAGTTCAAGTGAATCCTGTTCTATTACTAGTCAGTTGTGGTGACAGTAATGTTATATTTGCGGTTAATGGGAGGTGGGGCTGTGAGAATAGACTTTCACCGCACCGGATAGGGCGTTGACCAGTCGTCAAGTCACCTGTAACAGGTAAGACAGCGGACAATATATGGTAACATGAGTGAGTGACTGGCAGGCGACATCGCATAGTCGGGGCCTCATGTGTATGAACCACGGTAGAGCAGTGGGTGAGAGCAAGGTTCACGTTTGGAGGAGTGAGATGACGTAATTTCAAGGCACCGGATCGCCTGGCGTAACAATGTTTAAGAACTTTGGATTCTCTATTTTCATCCGTCGCGGACATCAGGTGAGAACTATACAGAGTATTTTCAAAACAAAATAATGTGTTCATTTATAGGCATTTAAAATCCCCATCTGGAATATCGTCCGTCACTAGAGAGTGGTGCTAATTGAAGATACGGGCAGAGCTAGGCAGGGCATTCCTGGATGGATTTTGCATGTAATATTTTCAAGTCTTCCATGACCAATGTATGGAACGACCCCCACTACAGAAACCAAAAATTGTCCATAATTCCATGGCTTATACGCGGTAACAAACGGTATATCTCTTCACTCCCGAGCTCCTGAGAGTTAAGGAGCACATTGTTTGTCTACCGTCGTCACTTAAAGTAAAGAAACTCAAATCATTTCGCGCTTAAAGTAAAGAGTAGTGTGGGCAAAGAAATGACAAAGCTCGATAGGACGTTTCACGGCTGACAAACTATAAGAGCCACCTAGTTCCAGCCACCTTACAGCAGAGTGCTTTGTACGACCTGCTTTGACTGATGACCACTCAATTTCGGGTTGCTGCTGAGTTTCAGGTGGTGGCGTCGAGCATGAGTGATGTTTTACAAGACCTGGTATGGCAGATTGAAGTCGCCTCGTTGACGGCGATAATTTGAGCTGGACAATTGTAATGTTTTCAGTCGCAAATGGTATGGCAGCTGGAAAATCCCTTTCCATTTTTTGTTTGTCATTACCTGTGTGGTGTCCAGTGCAATCAGGTCGCATTTTAACCAGGGTTGACAGGCCCGAATCGCGTACCTGACATGGGGACTCACATACGCATGGAGCACCTGAGGGAAGATGGTGGGGTCGAACCGCCCGAACGCACTTCTTAGGGGACCGACATATATCTTCGCGCTT